CTTTCTATTTTTGCTAACCATAGGTCCAGTAGTTACTTGGCTCATGAGGAAGAAGTTGGAGGGCTGGAAGGTATCTGTGTTTGCAGGAATGCGACGTCTGTATCTCACCTTCTTTTTGCAGATGACTCATTCATTCTTATGAAAGCTACTGCTCAGAATGCAAACACCCTGAAAAGAGTGCTTGACTCCTACTGTGCAAGCTCCGGACAACTTGTGAGTACAGCAAAATCAAGTATATTTTTCAACCCGAATACAGGTGTTAATACTAGAGAAGATGTTTGTAGAACCTTTGATATTCTGATGGAGGCTTTGTCAGATAAATACCTTGGTCTCCCCACTTTTGTGGGAGTAGATAGGTCATAGGAGTGACTGTTTTCAGCATCTAATTGACAGAATCTTCCAGAGACTAAAAGGGTGGAAGGAGAAGGTATTGTCCATGCAAGGGAAGAAAATTCTAATAAAGGTTGTGGCTCAAGCAATCCCCTCCTATGCAATGTCTGTCTTTAAATTGCCAAAAGGGATTTGCAAACAAATAACTGATGCGATTGCAGGGTTTTGGTGGGGAGACAGTGAAGAGAAGAAGAAAATGCATTGTTTTGCATGGTGAAAATTGTGCATCCCAAAGAGGAAAGGGGGCTTGGGGTTTAGGGACCTTCATAGTTTTAATCTCTTGCTTTACTAGCAAAACAATGTTGGCGACTACTCCAGAATCCAGACTCTTTGTGTGCAAAGGTCGTTAGTGCAAAGTACTATCCAGACGGAAATATTCTTAATGCTGGCCCAAAGAAAGGTTTCTCTTTTACATGGCAAAGTATTGTTTCGGGCATGCAAACGTCCAAAAGGGGATGCATCTGGCGGGTTGGCAATGGATCGCAAATCAATATCTGGAACGACCCATGGATTCCAACTAGTGAAAACTGAAAGGCTATTACACCATGAGGGACAAGTATGTTGGGTCAAGTGGAAGAACTAATTGATGCGCATTCTGGTCAATGGGATGAGGAGCTGGTACGATCGGTCTTCTCACCGGTGGATGTGCTCATAGAATCTTGCAAATACCACTTCCGATAGAGGCGATGGACAATTTTATTGCGTGGCACCATACTCGGTCTAGCACATTCTCTGTAAGATCCGCGTATCACGTTGAATTTGAACACCACTTTGGTCACAATTGGAACCAGAATGACAGAATGGGCAGCCATCAAGAGTGTGATTCATGGAAGAAAATATGGGGTCTCTGGCTACCAGGAAAGGTTAAACACTTTGTGTGGAAAGTGATTCGAGGGTTTTTACCATTTCTAGGTACACTAGCGGGTAGACATATCCTAACTTCTGCACAGTATCCTATTTGCCGCATTGGTTGTGAGGACTCACAACATTGTTTGTTTACATGTAAACGAGCTTCGGATGTATGGACTGAACTTGGGTAGTAAGAAGAGATACAGAGATCAGTCCTAGAAGATCGATCTGGTGCTATCACCATGGATACTCTGACGAGGAAGCAAACATTGATAGGAGGTATCCCTAGGGGGAGCTAGTAGCAGTTGCGAGCTGGTATATTTGGTGGCAGCGACATCAGGTTGTTAAGGGGGAATCTATAAGGCCACGTGACTATACTGCAGTTTCTATCAAGGTTTTAGCAACAAACTTTGTGCGTGTAGCTACCTTAATCGACCACAACAGCAGTGTGATCACATGTGGAGAAAACCATTTAGGGGTAGTGTAAAAATTAATGTAGATGCTTCATTCTGCGATGAAACTATGAAAGGAGCTACCGAAGCAGTTGCTCGAGATGATCGGGGCGAGTTCATAGCTGCAGCTTCATGGTTCATATCACATGTACAGAACGCGGAAGCGGCAGAGATAGCAGCGATCCGAAATGGCTTGTATTTGGCTGCAAAATTTGGATGCAACTCAGTGATAATTGAATCTGATAGTCTGAATGTTGTTGAGGCAACCAACCAAGATGATCATCTAGGCCCAGAAGCAGCAATCATCTCTGAAAGTAACTCTCTCCGGATGGACCTATCAAAGGTCAAGGTAATCCGTTGTTTCTGGGAAGCCAACAGTGTTGCTGATAGTATTGCAAAACACTCGCTTAGAAACAGATCTTCCGAGGTTTGGGAGAGTTCTATCCCAGACTTTATTTCTCACTTGAATGTACATGATCTTTCTATTATCTAGAAATAAAGTTGCAACGGCCGCAGCAACGCACTAAACCAATTTTCCTCCCAACCCAAATTAATACAACGACACACTCTCAGCCTCTCATGCTTGTCTCTCCCTTATCCAAATCGATTGAAACTGCATCTCTCTTTCTGCGACTTGCCTCCATGCCACTTGCTCTTGATGCTGCATCCAGCAATGGCTACTTCTGCATGCCACAAATGTTGATGCCATTCTCGTCATCTCGTGTTGCTACTGCGTTGTGCGCCACCGATCATTAGTGGTGGCTTGCTACTGCATCCATATGCCACCGATACTGCTGCCCTTCTCATGTTATTACATCTGCACCGCCTAATACGATGACAGCCGATGAGCTGAACAGTAAAAGTGCCGCCGAAGAACTAAAGATGCAAAGCAACATGTGCTTCGAATTTAGTTAAGAAAATGGATTTAGAGATGTGCAGATGGTCAGAAGGTGTGTAAATTTTGATTGCCATGTAAACTTGATGCACAAGGTTAACCCATTAAGTCATGTTTTAGTTGTACACACGCATGTAACTAGCTGGATGCCCATGAAAACATATCATATGCAGTAAACGAAGGCAGGACGCTTAGCTAGCTAGAAGCAATAACTAGCTGGATGGTTGCATCAATTTTGCATGCATTGCATACTTGTCTCATTTGGGCGTGGTTGAGAAAAAAACAGGCTAAAAACTAACATTTACACATTGCTTGGTTGTCTGCATTACATCAGTGGCCATGTTAGGGTTTGTTGTTTGGTTAGAGCAAATGTAAACCACAACTGTTTGGTTGCATGCACGTACCTATTCTGCTCACCCCTATCAAATGTAGTGGCCTTACCACCCAAATGCAGCACAAGAATAACATGCATCACAATCACATAGGAACATACTACACAATTAACAACACAAGACACAAGAACAACGTGCATTACATACGAACATACTACACAATCAACAACACACGACACAAGAGCAACAGCTAAACAGTGCATACTACTTTAAGATGGAGCATAAGTTTAAGACAGCAGGGGCATGGGATGCCCCTGCGCGATCCTAGGGTGCTGATCTCTGGGTAAAATATACAGTTCAACGCAAGTTCGGATGAGTACGCCAAACTAACTAAACCCAGAGGGCACGCTGGATGTCGCCCTAGAAACCGTGCCTCTGGCCCCTCACCCTGCACATGATAGAGTTGTTGTTATTGTAGATCTGGACCTTAATCAAAGTCGAGGCCGGAGAGGTGCGGGACGAGGAGGTCGCTGGGGACGATCCTGTGACGGCGACAAAAGTACTGCCAACCCCTCCCGAGGACCATCTGCCCAAGTGTTAGATCATAGCACTGCTCAAGTGCAAGTGCAATTATCAATGGCGGTCGCAAATGATTAGTGCTATGATCTCATAGCACTACCCAAGTGCAACTGCCACTGATCGGTGATGCCTAAAATGATTCAAATTTGGCCTACTCCTATTTGTAGCATGCACATGTGTCCTACTACTATTTTGAGCATGCACATGCATTGTCTTCTTCTTGTGATCATGCAAGCATGTACTACAGTCATGCACACATCCTATCCATCAATATCATCAATCTACTACTGTCAATAAACCAAGAACAACACGAACACATCCAATCTAGCATCAACACCCTAAACAGTAACAATCTTGCATCAACACCACCAATCTAGCATCAAGTCCACCAATCTAGCATCAATCTAGCAATCTACCATTGTCACTTTAGCAAGAACAACACTAACATCAATAATCTTGCATTAACACCCTAAGAACAACACCATCCGTAAATGATTGGATTTGAATTCATTGGATCCAAATCGAACGGATCCAATCCAAACCTACCTAGTCGGCACTGAGAAAAAACCCCAACTCCAACTGCGAGCATGGGGATAAATCACACGTACCGGAGCGGTTGCCGTTCGAGCGTAGGCCGGCTGCGGAGCAAACCCTGGCGGGAGCAGGGGCTGGCCGAAGAGGATGAGCCATCCAATCCGAGGGTTGTCGCCGCTGGGCATGTGGTCCTCGTCATGCGCGGGGTGGACGGAGTGGTCGCCCCCTTCTTTGCGCCTGCCCCACTACCCTCGCCTTGCACTGAAGAAAACCCTCGAATGGGGGTAAAAAAACATTCCGTCCACGGATGCCATCTTCACAACCGACGGGGTCCTCGGCGTCGCCGTAGTCGAATCCAGCACGGCTAGCTAGGTCCGGAATCGGAGGCGGGGCGACCGGTTGGGCATTGACCGGTGCCCGCGACCTGATGTAGAAGGGGGACGACGCCTGGATGGTCGCTATGAGGTCAATGCTGCTAGAGGAGTGGCCGTTCACCCAACTGTCTTGGATTGGGTTATTGCCGACAAGGATGAGGGTGAGGGTCGGAACGGCTGTGGGTGTGCCATCAGAGAGCACGAAGGGGGCATGAGGGAGAGAGAGCGAGTGTGGTGTGAATGGGCGTGGGAGCTGACCGGAGAGAGAGAAGGGAGTTATAAGTCGTTCCGTCGTCTCCCCGCGTTTTCAAACGAGGCGACCACGCGTGGCTCGAGCGAGTTTGGCTCACAAAAAAGGCCGATTTGATCATTTTCCCGCATGCAGGCTCAGAGATGCTTTAAGTTTGATACAGTCCGAGAAGCAGATGCAGACTAGGTAACCAAACAAACCATTTTTTTCCGCGCGAGGCTGATTGGCCTATATACTGGCAACCAAACGCGCCTATACCAACGTGACGGCCATCGGATTGTACACACGCACAGCTAGCTCATCGGGCGGCCCACTATGCCGTCTCCCACGGAAACTGCAGCTTGGCTTACTCGCAGTTACGCGTTATTTCAGGAGCTGATATGTACTACTCCGATATGAATAGGGTTCGGGCCGTTGGATGGGGAGTGGGGGCCGGGATCGACGGCACAGAGGCACACCGAGCGCAACAAAGAATCGGAGTGCGGGGCTGATGGGTTGAGTACAACTTGCCTTCCCCCATATATCCCCCGGCCCCGACCCCGGCCAACGAACTCGACGGAAAATCTATTGGCAGTTCCCTTCCCAGTGCGATCTCCGGCCGGTGTCGGCGTGTGTGCCGCCTTGTTTCCGCCCCGCCTCCCCTTCCCGTGCCCCTGCGTTTGTATCCTGGTCTCTCCGGAGTCCAAACCCTCCTCCTCCTCCTCCCCCTCGGAACCGCCGCTCCCTGATCGGTCGACCCTCGCCGGCCGGCGGCATGAGCCGCGCATCACCGTGGACGCCGGCAAACCTCCAACCAGGTCTCCCTCTCCCTCTCCCTCTCGGTCGCCCGATCAATGCCCTCGACTCGATCGCGACTCTATTTTTAGCACAGTAGGATTATTAGTTAATTAATTGCTAACTTGTTATAATCGAATAGCCACCCAAGCACGGTTTGCTTACCCTAGCTAGCCGGGGCCTAGGGTTGTCCGCCGGTGTGAGATTAAGGCCTCGATCGATCGAGTAGATAGATGATGGTTGTCAGTATAATATAGCACTACAACGCTCCCAAGATGTAACTACTAACTACTAGTAGTTGAATTTGGTGTGCTTAGGCCTGAACTGAAATCACATTCATGGTTCTCAACTGAACCAATGCGCATTAATTGCTCTGATTTCCAGCAGATTGTCGCGAGGATAAGAAGAGGAGATTACCCCAAGGTCACATCGGAGAGATAAGCAGCAGCAGATCAGCACATGAAGATCTTGACGACTTGTTTGCGTCGCTGTCGATCGACAGCACCCTCGCTCAAGAAAATTCAGGTTGCGCTGCTACGTTCATTTGCCCGTGATCCCATTTGTATATAGCCGTTTAATATCAACTGAATTGTTTCTCAAAAAGTACATAACCGTATCTTGTGCCATCATTATATGGTCTTCAAAGGTTGTCTCTGCTGGTGAAATTTTCTATATCTATAGGCTTATGCCCAATTGATGCTTGGTGCAGGAAATCCAACTTTTCTACCTCTCTTATTTGGAGTCACAAATATGCTAGTATTATATTACTAGGCCCTTTGATGTTAGCAACAATAAACATATTATATATTTCTTTCAGGAGACCGTCCCAAGGATAGGAAGAGAAAATCATGCCAAGAAAATGCTGGAAATTTGACTAACGCTTTACCGGATGATGTTTTGGAAAACATGTTTGCGGCGCTTTCGATCGATTCTAGAGTGACAAGTACTGCTTCCACGAGATCGGGAAAAGGATCTTTTATTATTCTTGATGACAATATTCTTGCTGGAGGTAATTCAGATTGCACCACTTCCACTGACTCTAGCAGGCCAAGATCAGAGGTATTCATTGAAATGGCAAATGACCTGTTGCTGCGCCATGATGGAACTGGTGTTCGAGTGTTCGAGGTTTGTTTTGATTTGAACTCCACTCATGCTGCCCACCTTGACAAATGGGTCCAGTTTGCGTCAGAGGCGGGTGCACAAGATGTGAAACTCAGCTTGTGTAAAAACATGACATCTTGTCCGGAGCATTTGGTGACTGCAAATCGCTATAACTTCCCTTTGCATTGCTTTGGCGATGGGCGACAAAGATCCTCGATGCGGAAGCTAGACCTGACGAATTGCATATTCACGCCACCGCTGGATTCCAGTGCCTTTTCCTCCCTTGTATGCCTTTATCTAGTGCGTGTCACAATAACCGACTCCGGCGTCCAGAACATTTGCTCTTGCTGCCCTATTCTCCGCCATTTGAGACTGGCACAATGCGACGATCTGGTTAATGTAAGGATTACCCATGAAGTGCTGATATGTTTGGATGTATTTCGTTGCAAAAAGCTGGCGAGTGTTGAGATTCACGCCACCTGCCTACTCATCTTCGAGTATGATGAGCATGAGGTACACATCAATTATGCTAGTACCCCCAGTATGAGGCTTTTGGGAAATACGTTCAAGAACCGAAATGGTTATCTTTCGGACGGTGTAGAAGCCATGAAAAGGATCAGAAAAATCACCTTGACATTTCTTTGGCCATGGGAGGTTAGTTCAGATCTATGTGTTTTGTTCCCCTATCTTCAAATGTTATGTAGTCACTCAGTTAGCAGTTTCTAACTGTTATAGTAATAATGAATCTCCATAACTGCTTCATTTGCTCTTGTGCAGAAGCCCAATTATACACTTTACGCGATCAAATTCCCAGCAATACAGTTCATCAACCTATTTATTGTGCCATCTTGGAATAATGTTCGTGGAGTAGCTTATCTCGTCAAGGCAACTCCTTATCTTAAAAGACTCCGGCTAGAAGTATGTCCAAAATGCTCTCCTTGTTCTTCTTCTTCGGATAAAATAATTAGAATGTAATTTTCCTTTTTACAGATAAAAGAATGAATTATCTTGGTCCTCTCTTTGTTACACTACTTGCCTGCTAGGTTACGATAAATGAAACTGCTTCATGCAACGTACTTGGGCCGACGGATCAAATACTAGCATTTATCATCAGTTTTACATTCTCCATGTTGCCACAAAAAATTTAGTGGTGGGGTAATTTCTCTTATGTACATCAGATCCTTCTTTAGGTCTGTATAAACAACCCTTGTTCTGTCCTGAAATGAAGTCATCTAGAATTATAAAACCATGGCATATAATTTACTTAAGATTGTATCAAGCATTTGATTTGAAGCCATGTAATTCGACAAATTTGAGGTGAGCTTCATTCTAGCCTGTGCCTCACAAATTCCTACACATACCTATAATATACTGATGCCAAACCAGTGCAGTATAGTACTTGAATCTTACATCAGTACATCATGGACTCACTGTACTTGGGCCTTCCTTGCATGCAGGCACGCAGCGGAGACCACCATTACCGGGACGACGTCCAGGTCAGCTGGCCCGAGGGCATCTCTCTCAAGAGGCTCCGTTTCATCACCGTGGGCGGTTTCGCCGCCCAGGCCCCGCTGGTCGAGCTCTTGGTGTGCATGGTGCACGCAGGCGCCCGGTCGAGGAGGACGTATCTCCAGATCGACCCGCACCACCATCTCTGCCAAGGCCTGGGCAGGTGGGTCAGGGAGGACGTCGGCGACAAGCCTGCGAGGGACCGCGCGAGGGAGGCCGCCAAGGAGACCCTCAGCTCCAGGCTCCCGCCGTCCGTGAAGCTCGTCATCAAATGATCCGCGTGTGATGTTCCTGTGATTGGTAGAATCGCCTCGATCAGGGTGATGATTTCTCGTTCTGTTGGCCTGGCTAGTGTCATGTGCCGGCAACACTTGGATTCAGATGGCTTGGGAAGCTCAGGACTGACTGACTGACGAGTTGTGGAGAAACATGGGACATGCACATTCTTGCAGTGACAACTAACAAGTCCCTCCTCTTGTCTGTATGGTTTATTTATATAGACTGCGGAGACTGAATTGAGCTGTGGAATCCGAGGCAGGCGATCGGTGCAAACCGCGCGTGTCTTTTTTTTTCTTTCATCTCTGTAGAATATCAGGGCGTGCGTATCTGAACCTGAAGCTAGCGGATACAAGCTCCTGTCTTAAGCTTGCTCTTACTCGAGCTCAGAGGAAGCTCCATAATACGCAGCTCTACAAGAATGTTGAGATATGTCTTGGATTAAATTACTGTCAGCAGCAATAGTTCGCCATGGTCAATCCCCACCCGCCCCTGAAACCTGAATGACCTGTTGCCCAGAAAGCGCCCTTGGTAGTCTTGTTATGAACCCAATTACACACACACACACACACACATCTCACAAGTTTGCTATGGATCGGAGGTTCTACAAGGAACACGCGGCTCGATACAAGGAGAACTGGGATGAGGAAGAAAGAGGAATTCAGAGTAGTAGGTGAGATGAGAGGGGATTCCTTCTTCAAGTTCTGGTCCAACGACCAATCCGCCTCGGCGCTGGTGCTTGCTTGTTATACTCGGCGCACCCAATCCTTACCAACAAACTTCCGGTTCGGCCTGTGTGGTTGCAGTGTGCATCGGGGTCGAACCGTTGTTGCGGTCGTTGCTTCCGTGCCCAGGTTAGAAAGCCCTATGCTGCCATGGTGTTGTCAACCGTCGATCATCGAGAGGAGTGAGGCTTTGTTGATCGGTGAGGACGATGAACTCGGAATGCTGAAGGTATGGGCGCCATTTGTCAATGGCTAACAATATTGCCATGCATTCCTTTTCATATAGGATAACCCTGACTCTTGGGTCCAAGAACCTTGCTTAAGAGTGCCACTGGATGACCCTTTTGCATTAGAACAGCACCCACTCCCAATTGACTGGCATCAGTTTCTATTTCAAAGGGCAATGAAAAGTCAGGAAGGGTTAACACTGAAGCTTCAAAAGGGCAAGCTTAACTTAGCCTGGCTAGGCGAGGCTAACAAGTGATCCAAACCGACCCTACATAGCTCCGCCACTGTTAGGCAGGGCTGGGGGGCAAAAGGTCTAAAAAAGTTCTCCTCTAAGCCC